TGAAAAACTGCCAAAAGTTTTTCAGGGGGCTAAGCGCGCGCGCTTGCGTCATACATGCACTCCCAGGCAGGGCAAGACATATAAGCAAGTCTCCTTACACCCATTGCCTCTGTTCACCCAGCAGTGATTAGGAACCTGGGTGTTAGTCGACTGTTGTGGGTGGCATCCTGGGGAATGGTCAAATGCTACAAATATCCCAGGTATACTCGAATTTCCCCTAAACGCCGCAAGACTCAGCACGAGGAAAATAGCCGGAAAGCTGTACTGAAATATGCCGCAAGACCACTGCAACGAGTGGGCCGGAAGGTCCCAGAGCCCAAAAATGGGTTCACGCCCAAAGTAACTAATACTACTACTCGCATGCACGTGCGTACACGCACGCACAATATTGGACAGGTGTTGATCTACACCAAAGTTTTCTCCGTCTTCAGGTTCGCGACAACGGTGCCACCGACTTTCTCTAGTGTGTCTTTATTAGCAGGTTAAAGACGTTTTACACGAGCATGTCTTCGTCTCTCCTTCTGGGGCTCTGGTCAAGGCTGCTCTTGCTGGGCCATGGTCAAGGCTGCTCTTGCTGGGTCGTGGTCAAGGCTGCTCTTGCTGGGTCGTGGTCAAGGCTGCTCTTGCTGGGCCGTGGTCAAGGCTGCTCTGGCTGGGCCGTAGTCAAGGCTGCTCTTGCTGGGCCATGGTCAAGGCCGCTCTTGCTGGGCCATGGTCAAGGCTGCTCTTGCTGGGCCGTGGTCAAGGCTGCTCTTGCAGGGCCGTGGTCAAGCCCGTTCTTGCTGGGCCGTGATCAAGGCTGCTCTTGCTGGGCCGTGGTCAAGGCCGAGTAAACATAAAGAGAGGAAAGTAGAGGGTGTAAGCTGCTAGAGTCTGGTTGGGGCAAAAGTCTAACTTGCATGGTTAAGAAATGTGATTTGATTATCAACGTCTTGAGCAACATGATATGTTGCGTGCGGACACTTGCGAGCAAATAGCTATTTGTCACCTATCACCAAAATTCCCCAAAATTGTTACTTTGCTCCATCAAGCCGTGCAAGACGCTATTCTGCATCCGTTCAAGTGATCACTGCAACACGGGTGCGAGAGAGAACAAATTTTCCCTCATCTGATGACGCTCAAACACCGCGCTGAGGGTCGAGGGATTCCCGCCACCGTTCCCGCTCGAGCGCTAGGAACTCTGCCTTACAACCACCACCACACATGGTAAGATTTGACGTTTTTCAGTCATATTCTTATTTTGTAATAATTTGTTCTTCTCGCTAATATTATTTGTTGCATTGCGAGTCAGATGACAGTTTAGAGACCTATAGCTCTATTTATTAATCCAACAAACTTTGTAAAATCTCTTTATTTGCTGAATTACAACAACGATAAGGAATCAAGTTATTGGAATAATTTTAATTTGCCTTCAGCAAAAAAATCGCCAGTGACATTATCTCTGTCGTATCCTGCCATGTAGCATGTGTCGTATCCTGCCATGTAGCATGTGTCGTATCCTGCCATGTAGCACGTGTCATATCCTGCCATGTAGCACATGGCATATCCTGCCATGTAGCACATGGCATATCCTGCCATGGAGCACATGGCATATCCTGCCATGGAGCACATGGCATATCCTGCCATGGAGCACATGGCATATCCTGCCATGGAGCACGTGTCATATCCTGCCATGGAGCACATTGCATATCCTGCCATGAAGCACGAGTCATATCCTGCCTTGGAGCACGAGTCATATCCCGCCATGTAGCACGTGTCATATCTTGCCAGTTAGCATGTGTCCTATCCTGCCACTTAGCACATGTCGTATCCCGCCACATAGCATGTGTCATATCCTGCCACATAGCACAGGTCGTATCCTGCCATGTAGCGTGTGTCATATTGTGCCATGTAGCGGGTGTCATATCCTGCCCCTTAGTGGGTGTCATATCCTGCCACGTAGTGGGTGTCATATCCTGCCATGTAGTGGGTATCATATCCTGCCATGTAGTGCGTATCATATCCTGCCAGGTAGCACGTGTCATATCCTGCCATGCAGCGGGTCTTATCCTGTCGTGTAGTTTGCATCATATCCTGCCATTTGATACCTGTATGGGTGTCATATCCTGCCACGTAATGGGTGTAGTATCCTACCACTTTGTGAGGTGTCATATCCTGCCACTTAGTGGGTGTCATATCCTACCACATCGCACATGTCATATCTTGCCACGGTTCACATGTAGTATCCTGCCATGTAGCATGTCGTATCTTGCCATGTAGTGCATGTCGTATCCTGCCACATAGCACGTCTCATATCCTGCCACATAGTGCATGCCGTATCCTACCCGGGTATGCATGTCGTATCCTGTCACATAGTGTGTGTCGTATCCTATCACACAGTGCGTCATGTCGTCACATAGTGCGTGTCATATCCTGCCACATAATGCATGTCATATCCTGCCTTGTAGCATGTATCGTATTTGTCACATAGCATTTGTCGTATCCTGCTTACTGAAGTCCAGACTTACTTACAGACTCCTGACAAAGTCCAGATTGGCACGGCGGCTGAGGTGACGTCATGCTTGTTTATTTTCTGCTTGCTCGTTCGGTTTTCGGTTTGCAATTTTTAACCAGCTGTAATTTGTTTTGGGATTCCTATCTTTCTGGGTGCCTGAAAGATCCCGGGCGCCGGCGAGAAACAATGGGCAGAGTTTCTTTCACCCTATGCCCCTGTTACCTAGCAGTAAAATAGGTACCTGGGTGTTAGTCAGCTGTCACGGGCTGCTTCCCGGGGGTGGAGGTCTGGTCGAGGACCGGGCCGTGGGGACACTAAAGCCCCGAAATCATCTCAAGATAACCTCAAGATAGCCTGACCTGGTAGATGGGAGATATAGACTGCTTCCAACTCAACCCGTCCTTTTAAAAATGACGTCGCTTTTCCCTCGTATGTGCGCTATGGCCAAAAATTAATTTAATTTGAAAGGAAATCGGCTCACAAAACTGATGTACTGTCCCATTTTCTGTTTGAGTCCTCTGGCTTACTCAGAAAGGTTAGGAGAGGAAACTCAATTAACGTTTTTCATGATGTTTTGAAACTTTAGGATAATTTCCTGCCCTCCTAACCTACCAGAGAACCCTTAACTTACTGTTTTGGAAGAAAAAACTCCCAAATTTATTTTCCATTTTTTCATTTTCAAATTACGTCCATTTTTGATCATACGAGCAAACGGCCAAATTCAGATGTACAGTGACACCTTGACTTACAACTGCCCCTACTTACAATTATTTTTTAATTACGACCCCAATTTTGTCGAAAAATGCAAACTCGACTTACAACCTTTGTCTCGACTAGCGACTTTGTGGGTCGACCTAGTGCCCGCTTAATGACGATCACGTTTGTAAAGAATTTCATTGTTTTTTGCTTTTTTTCGTTTTTTGAACATAAAAGTAATTATTATATATCACGCCGTGAGTCCCAAGAAAGTTAGTGGTAAGGTTCAACCTAAGAAAATAACTGTGGGTAGAGGCAATAGAGAATGTCCCTTCCTCGTTAAGGAAAATGTGTGAAGTATGGTAAGAATTGTAAAGTTTTGTTGAAAAAACCCACCCAGATAAAGCTGTAACAGGCCATTGTATTGACCTTCTAATGACAATGTGATGTTTAACTACACAGATAAATATTAAAATGTAGGGAAAACAAGTGTCTTTAGACAGATTCTTAATAAGACAAGCAAGCAGTGAGCCACAATCAGGTCCTAGTGGTATGCCTGCAAAACGTAGAAGTCATTACTGCCTGATGTTATAATGGAAGGGGAATCTCCTTCCAAATATTAACACCTCTCCTCCTCCTCACTGTTTTACATTTGCCAACAAGAGTCCTCAATGAAGGTAAGATATAACAAAAATGAGTGGTATTTGGTATAAAATGTATTTTTAAGTTAATATTTTTTGGAGGTGTTGAATGGATTACTGTAATTCAATTTACATTATTTCAAATTACAGTGGAGGTACCACTGTAATTTGTAAGAGGACAGGTTATCCATCTACATGGGTGTGTCTATAGGCCATTGCTCCTGCCTCTCTGAGAGGAGCCAGGTTCAGGCTCGTGGTCCCCGGTACGCTTAGAACTCCATCGATTTACTGTTGCCACGGTCTAATATATACACATCAACCCAGTATAGCTCCGGGGAGCCGAAACGGCTCTTCACAAAAAAATCCTGAATCTTGGCATTTAATTCTACCTTATCTCAAAATCTGTGAGACAACTCTCACACTTCCTACTTGAACTAAAGACACACTGGGTTGTCAAACATGTTATTGAAACAGGGAAAGGCCTGAACGACATGGCGATCATAACAGAGGTTAAGGGATAATGTTCATGTGGTAGCGTTGCCATTAAGAGGTTAAAGCTTTCTGTCATGTTTACAGTATTCTCATGAATGATAGTATGAAATGGCACCATTACATTTATTGATTTTAGAATTAAAGTTTTAATCTCTAATGTGCTACGAGCAATAAAAGTTTTATGAAAAAGTGGTACCAATTTCCTATGAACTGCTACCAAATACTGTAGTTTGTTTAATTGCATCTCATTGTAATGGGTTAATTTTGTTAAGCTTTGAACACCTCATTCCTGAAGGTTTGAGAATGCATTCATATGGCTTGTAACCTGCTTGTAAATAATTGACAAAAACCTATATCTGGTCAGGAAGATAGTGGAAGAATATAAATATAAAACATGTAATTTCTTATTCCATTTAATCAAAATGACAAATGGAATGAAAATAATATTTATGACAAAAAATCTGCATGCCATTTACATGCACCAATGTCATGTGCGGAAATACTAGTCAGGAAAGCTTACATACTTTTCTTGGAATAAGTTAAATAGAATTTATTTTTACAAAATGTTATGCTCAACAATCCAATTCTTTTTATTTTTCCAGTTTTGAACAATTCTGACAAATGGTCAAGGATAATCACACAAGTACCAGCATTTAAGAGGATATAAAGATATTACATATACTTCGATCTTTATTTTCAATATAATGTAATGCACACACAAGTTTCCCGGTGTATAATATACACTGCTGATTATATTTACTGATGTCAAATGTCACACTGTAATAAAAAGAAAAAAATACGAAAATCATAATTTACTCTTCTTTTGCACTTAAATATTATGACGGACAATTCAGTATATTGCTATAACATTTATTGCCGTTTTAACATATATGAGACTGTAAACATGTGAACCATCACAAAATTTTGTAAGTTATCAAGGTTGAAGTAAATCTAGTCATTTTCAACACATACAAAAATTTTATGATATATAAAATTAAGCATATATAAAAAAGTTACTCAAGTTCAACCTTGCATTAAAAAAAAATGTAGAATCTAGGAAGTCAGTCATAGTGTGTATCCAACAAGCATATGTCACTAGTACTCAAACTGCTGCATGCTGGGGATCTGTTGGATATACAATTGTTTGCTCCCTATAGTCCTGTATTAAATGTATTTCTCACTAAACTGGCAAAAATTTATTAATGGACAAATGAGGCAATTTACATTATAGGCTGAAATATACAGAAATAAGTATGACAGGTCTCAATTACTTGAAAGCAGCAGCGCGAGTGCCGAACCATGGCCACAGCAACACCGCAATACAATTTGCCTATTCAGAAATGTCACTTGTTTGATGAACTGCACATCTGCGAGGCAAATAAGTAATCTAGAATAGCCAATTCAACCAACATGTGGTCAATAACATTGACATTAAATAAATCTTGCATTTTTCTAGTTAAAAATCAAATTTAACTACAAGACACGTGGTTATTAATCATAATGTTCTGTAAGAAAGTGACATGGACAAAAATATTTTTGGTGAAACTTGGGGTAAGGAAGAAAATAAAAAATAAAATAAAAATATCAATCAGCAACCTCCAGGAGGGTTAAACTTGTGCCCAAGAGGCAAAGAATGGCTCTTACAAATGGAGATGGAAATATATGTGTATATATGAATGCATATATTATATATATATATATATATATATATATATATATATATACATATACAGTATATACATATTTACATACACACACATACATACACATGAGTATTTTTAATATGGTGATAATGCAGTACAATGAATTAAAAAAAATAGAATGACCATATATTACAAAACTAATTCCAATATCTTAATAAATTACAAATATTCAGATTAAATCACTTGGTGCCTTAACCATTTTACCCAATTTTAAGAATGACGTAAAAGCTTCTTAGTAAGTTTTATAATGTACCAGGAATAGGAACTAAAATATGAATAGCATGTTCATCTTAAATAACTTTCAAAAGACAAAAATACTACTACTTTGTAGAAAAAATTGGATTTTAGTAATTAAATTTCCTCTTAATAAATGATAGTATAATAATCTACATATCAAAGTAGCTTAGTCCATCCTCTTTATACATTATATTATTTACTTTAAATATATATATATATATATATATATATATATATATATATATATATATATATATATATATATATATATATATATATATATATATATATATATATATATATATATATTATTTTTTTAAGAGGATAACACTTTATTCTAGCAATATCCAAAGGAAATATATTTGGGCAATAATTTGATAGTTTTCATATTTAAATTTACAACACCGCACAATTTTTTCCATTTTCAAACACCACAACTTTATTCTTAGCTCCACGTTACCACTATCCAGACAGTGTCTTGAAAGATTTGCCATTTTGTTTTTAGCCGAACTGGAAGTGGAATCCACCAGGGAATCCACCACCTCCAAAGCCATTTCCTGGAAAGCCAGCTTGCTGGAAGCCTGCATTATGGCCACCAAAGCTGTACCCTCCATGCCCTCCACCAAAGAAGGCTTGGAATATTTGGTTGGGATCAATGTCTGTAGGAAAGAAAAATGAAATAATTAAATACTATAATGTGTACATTACTAAATTACTAAAGGGTTTATTAATATATATACAGTGGAACCTCGAGTGACGAGCACCTCAAACTACGAGCATTTTGAGTAACAAGCTCGGCGATCCCCGACAATTTGTCTCGATTGGCGAGCACTCGTTTGATTAACGAGAAAACCACATGGTGCATTCCCGCTGCTTCTCGCACATTCTTGGACGCCTCCAACGATGCAAATTATTTTTTTTTTGTTTTAAGATGCTAATGATGCTGGGATGTAAAGGGGTGGCTGCTGTGATGTTGCAAAGCATTGAATTTAAAAAAAAAAAAAAATTGAACAAAAGAACACATGTCAAAGGTTTGTTCAGTGTGTGTCAGGTAGGCTGCACCATTATTAATAAATAAATGAAAAATACAAAACAAATTGAACGCATTTGAAACAAATAAAGATTGTGATAATGGAGCAGCTTACCTAACACTGAACGAATGAACCTTTTGGCAAAAAAAAAAAAAAATTAAAAAAAAAAAAAAGAGAACATAGTTAAAAAAAGAACAAATGTCATAAAGGTTTATTCAGTGTGTGTCAGGTACGCTGCTCCAGGTTTCTTAAAAAAAAAAAAATTAACAAATCTGAAAAAAAAAAAGAAAAATGTCATAAAGGTTTATTCAGTGTATGTCAGGTGGGCTGCTCCATTATTTAACCCTTGTGTTGCTAAGGGCTATTTGGCCATTGTCACCCACAGGCGCATAAAAAAAAAAAAAAATAAATAAAACCTGTTAATTTGTGTTCTCTGATCATGGGAAAAATAATAAAAAATCCTAAGTGGCATATTTTGCCCGCTATAGGGCTGGGAAGTCTGGCAAAAAACGGTCGCCAACTTATCATGCATCCCAGACGTTCTACTCGCCCCAGCTGTCAGGCAGGAGTGGCCACAAAGAGATAATTACCTAATTATTTCTATGTCTCTGATTTTTCTTTGTTTTTTGCTGTAATATTATTCAATAGGGTGTAGTGCGATATATTTATTCCGTGACGTCATCGACGTCACATATTTATGTTACTCTAATTTCTTTTAAACAGTCAAGTGTTTAAACTTAATACAAAAGTGTTCACTAGGACTGAATATAATTTCCAACGCCAGGAATATAGCTTAACACTATTCCTTAAACATAAATAGAACCACCAAACATTTGAGGTCGTCTTTCCCGGAAGCGTCGTCATGTACCAGAATGTCAACAAACCAACACGCTGTAGAGGGCTCTCCTTATGAGCTGGTGTAACTCGTTAGACACCCAGACTACGTGTCAACAAGCGAGCAACCAGAACAACAGCCTCTCAACAACCACAGCAACACCAGTATTTGTTTTACCAAGTACTGTATTTATAGTATAAATTTGGCCATTTTATTCATAAATAGGTAGGCAGTTTATACTGTGGGTGAAAACCCACTAACACGTACGTACTCAGCTCTACACACACATATTCCATGTCATATCTGTAATTATATGTTTAGGGAACCTTCATTAATTCCTTACATCCCAAACGGGTAATTGTGAGGGAAGTTAGTGAAGCAGGCTCCAAATATAATGACAGAAATTGCTTCCACTAGCTGTACATCAAGCTTTGTAGGCCTCCAGACAGCCGCTATTACGTGGCACTCAGAGGCACAGAGCCACACCTATTTTTGAAGTTACAATTACGCAGTCTTAGCAGGCCCCATCAACAGGAACAGCTAAGGCCCTTTTTGTTCAATACTGTAGACATAGTATTAGTAGTTATAAACATAATTTACTGTGGTATAATAGTAGATTAGACCACCATATGTGGTAAGATTTATAATTTATATATCAAAGATTAGGTAAACAATTTGTGGTATATGAAGGAGCCATCTCAAAGTGGTTTAAACTACAAATTATCCCTCCCATTGTGTGAGAAGTTCCAGCAGCTGAATCAGTACATACAGTCCACTTACTTACTACTATCTAACTTATTACTAAGAAAAATAATCAAATCAAATATCATATTAAAGTAAATTAAAAAATAAATAAATATTTGAATATTCACAGAATTAAAAAGAATTAAAGCTGCTAGGATTTTCCCACAAGTTCAGGCACTAAGAGACGTCGCTACACACAGTCAGCTGGCGGCTGCCTCCCTCACACATTCAAGGTCAGACGCACTAAAATTTCTCCCCCAACAATACTGTTTGTGGTGTTATTACCCTATATACACACATTATACAAGTATTTACATGTTTTGTTCACCATAACTGTTCAACTAAGCCAGTATAGTGCCCAAGGAGTATAGTGGCCACCCCTACCCAACATGATAAATCATGCAGATGTCACCATCTTCCTCACCAAAATGCCTTCTCCCCCCCGCACTCCTTTTGCTGTTATAATACTATATATATACATTATATACAAGTATCTATATTTGTGTTCACCATAACGAACCACTAAGTTTGTATGCTGAGTGGAAGTGGCAGCCCGCCACTGGCTGTCACTCGCTCCCTCAGTCACTTCACCTTACTTGCCAACATTCTCCTCCCACCATACTGTTTTTGTTTTTATTCACTATATACATACGTTATATATAAGTATCTGCATGTTTTGTTCACCACAGTGAACAACTAAGCTGGTATAGTGAGTCCAGACAGTAAATGGTGGTCACACAGAGTCAGCAGACAATGCTACCTCCCTCCCCACCAAGATTACTCCTCCCACTACAGCTCTAATTACCACAGCAATCCTGCTATTATCAGAATCCTGGTCATTTTGATCACAGTCAGGGGTCTGCTGTAATACTATCATCACTAAATAATAGCATGTACATATATATTATGGCATTTTTAGGCGATGCTGTGGGTCACAAGCTGCTCAGCAGTGCTGAGAGTTCATGCTACATGCGCCAGCCTTAGTGACTCACTTACTACTGATGCCCTCGCACCCGGGAATGTGGCCAATGATTTTTTTTTTTAAATGGCGTCTGTTTACAAGAGCCCTGATGAAGGCGAGGTGAACCCCGTGTATCCGCGGGCCGTTTAAATCTTGCGTAGTACTCCAGGTTTAAGGGTTAAACTGAGCAACACGTCATATGAAGTGTTGAGTAACTTGCTATAAATTGCGCATCACGTCATATGACGTGTTGGAGTACTACGCAAGATTTAAACGGCCTGTTGATACACAGGGTTCACCTCACCTTCAACTATTGTTTTTCTTTTATTTCTTCCACATATTTTAATACATTACTCCCCAAGAACCAGCTACTTCACCCACTTTACAAACATACTTGACAGACTAACCAACACATGTTGTCGTAACCATTATTTCAGTGCCAAATTGTTACTAGGCGTGTTGATGCCCAACAACTGTGCTGTCATATTATTCTACTTTTGACATCCTATATACACAGAATACCGATAGGTTGGTAATTGAAAAAAATATAACAACTGCACACAGTATTTCTGCAAGTTTAAAATGTAAGCCCTTATCACTAGAGTTGCAGACAAAATCACAAAGTGTAGTCTTAAAAACAAAGATATTTGCTCACTGAGGAACAGGTGGGATCAAGCTAATAACTGTTCAACTTCAAATCCATTTGTACTGCTTGGATTTGAAGCAACTGTGTGAGTTTTCACCTTATCTGACAACTCTAAGGTGTCGACTAAAAAAATACATAGCAAAATTAGACAGCCAAAACAAAAGTATCTAAAGAGGTACAAACAATTTTCAACATATATCTTCCCATTGTCTTTGTTCCAGTTGCCTAAGACAAACATAGAAAATAAGTCACCTATCACAAAAAATGCCACTTTAGTTCAGTACCATATTTGAGCATGAGGCTGGAAAGCATGGAGCAAGTGCTCACCCACACCACTGACAGTGGTGTGGGGAGCACTGTCACATGACAGGTCGGAGTCCGCATACCACTGATAAGTGGTGTGGGGAGCACTGTCACATGACAGGTCGGAGTCCGCATACCACTGATAAGTGGTGTGGGGTGCACTGTCACATGACAGGTCGGAGTCCGCATACCACTGATAAGTGGTGTGGGGAGCACTGTCACATGACAGGTCGGAGTCCGCATACCACTGATAAGTGGTGTGGGGAGCACTGTCACATGACAGGTCGGAGTCCGCATACCACTGATAAGTGGTGTGGGGAGCACTGTCACATGACAGGTCGGAGTTCGCATACCACTGATAAGTGGTGTGGGGAGCACTGTCACATGACAGGTCGGAGTCTGCATGCCACTGACAGGTCAGAGTCTTAAAAGTCATCCTATCATAACTAAATTTATCACAAACCTATTACCATTTGAATCACAAGCAGATATAAAACAGTTTGTGTTTCGTGCAGATTATTCAGTGGAATAAACAAATGTTTACGTTCTGTCAAGATGACTTTTCACGCAAGTTCTCGCCGAACCCAACGATCAGAATGTGGCTGTGTTAGCAGTTCCCCCTAATCTAATTGCAAACTATTGTACAGTATATAAAGCTTTTTAAGAGACTTATACAAGACATTTTACAAAATATATCAAATACAAAAAATATTAATAGAACAGCTAAATATGAAGCAAATGAATCTTCAGCCACATTATTGCAACTCTTCGTCTGCACAAGCAAACTAACGTTTTAAAATGCAATACTAGCTTCATGGTAAACTTATATTGTATTAGAAATACCAACCATCATGTCCAAAGCCTCCTTCAGGATCGTTGATGTCTTGTCCTCTGTCATACATAGCCCGCTTTTTGGCATCGGTCAAAACTGAGTATGCTTCTCCTATCTCCTTGAATTTGATTTCATGTTCATGTTTATCCTTATCACTGGCATTAGCATGGCGATCTGAGGATTAAAGTTAAAGAATTATATTTTGTATTCATTGAGCAATAAAAATATATTCCATTCTCTTTCTGGTGTCACCTCATATTTGACAATACATTGGGCACCAAACAGAATTGCAGTTATGCACTTTACTTGGAAAAATTCATGCATATAGGCTTCACAACATTTTAAAATTATAATACAATATATATTGATATAAAGTGACAGGATTAAAATGAATTGCTTTGTAACACAATCTGGTTGTCGAGGGGGTATAAATGCTTCGAAGGCCCAGTTTCTTGTCTAATTGTGATGTCTACGGAGATCAAGTTTCTACACAAGATTTCCACCTCATACCAATTGTATATCATTCATGGCTTTATCAAACTATTACTGCTTGCACCTCGCACACCAGATGATTATAGGTAACATTTTCAAGTTTTTATCAAGTTCTCTTTGGAACAGGAGTCTGTTGGTAATTCCCCTTATACTTAAAATAACACTGAAATTTTTTGACCCAATAAATTTATAATTAACTTTTAGGATTAATTGGATTAATTGGATTAACTGCATCCATACATTTTAATTGGTAGGCACATCTGCCATGCCTCCAGGTTTCAAGAAATTATTAGTGTGCAAATTTGGAACCAGTCCCCATTTAGTATTTTCCAATTACAAATTGTAATGAACCTCTTGCATTTAAAAGAATCTATGCGAGGATTTCAACCTTTCCCTGTAATTTAGAAGTTTTAATTAATAGATTTGAGTAGTTTAGGTTTCTGTACCAGCAATCTCACCATCCTTAACCCCTGGGCAGTGCCTGTGATTATAGCATGCAACATGTCAGGCACAAGAAAAAATTCAATATTTTTGTTCTTCTAAGATTGTTAAAATGTGTTTTTTGATCACAGGGAAAAATAATAAAAAAATTGTAGGCAACATATTTTGGCCGCAATAGGGCAAGGAAGTCTGGCAAAATTGAGGCGCTGACAGAGTAAGCATCCCGCGCTGCTCCTCCACCCGTGCTGTCAGGAGGGAGGTGCCACAATGATTTATTCAATATTGTGCAGTGTGATATATTTATATAATAAAATGTGTGAACCATTACTATACTCAAAAGTATAGTAATGTGCATATCAGCATATTAAAAACTCGATTATGTTCATAAGACAAACAAATAGTTTTCTTGTTATTACACTATATACACACACATTATATACAAGTAACCCGGGAAAGTTGACCATGATTTTTTTTTTAAATGGCATCTGTTTACAATAGCCAAGGAAGCTGATGTGAACCCTGTGTAGCCATGATAGTTTTAAATCTTACGTGGTACTCCAACACATCAATAGCTCTAGTGTGCAATTCTGTGACAGTTGCTCACCACAGATGCAGGCAGGAGTGAAAGGGAAAGGACACTAAGCAACAGGACACAGCGAGTCACTGTGAGGGGTGAGGTCTCAGTGGCGGGGAGTCACCAGTGGAGTCCCACAGGTATCAGTCCTTGGACCTATACTGTTTCTGATATACGTAAATGATCTCCCAGAAGGAATCGACTCATTCCTCTCAATGTTTGCTGATGCAAAAATTATGAGGTGGATCAAGACAGAGGAAGATAGTATAAGGCTACAAGATGACCAAGACAAACTGAAGGAATGGTCCGACAAATGGCTACTAAAGTTCAACCCAAGTAAATGCAAGATAATGAAACTAGGAGGAGGAACTAGGAGGCCAGACACTGGATACCGAATGGGATGAACGAAGTCCTTCACGAAACTGACAGAGAAAGATCTAGCAGTTGATATCACGGCAAACCTGTCTCCTGAAGCCCACGTCAAAAGAATAACATCAGCAGCCTATGCAAGGCTGGCTACCATCAGAACTGCTTTCAGAAACCTGTGTAAGGAATCCTTCAGAACCTTGTATACCACATGTGTAAGACCAATCCTGAAGTATGTAGCCCCAGCATGGAGCCTGTACCTAGTCAAGCACAAGACGAAGCTGGAAAAAGTTCAGAGGTATGCCACTAGACTAGTCCCAGAACTAAGAGGCATGAGTTATGAGGACAGGCTGCATGAACTGCACCTCACATCGCTGGAAGACAGAAGAGCTAGGGGAGACATGATTACCACATACAAAATTCTCAGGGGAATTGACAGGGTAGACAAGGATGGATTTAACATGGGTGGTACACGCACAAGGGGGACACAGGTGGAAGCCGAGTATCCAAATCAGACACAGAGACATTAGAAAGAACATTTTCAGTGTCAGAGTAGTTAATAAATGGAATGCATTAGGAAGTGATGTGGTGGTCCATACACAGTTTCAAATGTAGATATAACAGAGCCCAGTAGGCTCAGGAATCTGTACATCAGTTGATTGACGGTCGAGAGGCAGGACTAAAGAGCCAAAGCTCAACCCCCGCAAGCACAATTAGGCGAGTACAGCTATTGATGTGTTGCACAGTTTAAGGGTTAAAGGTAAGGTCTTCCAACATGAGTACACCCAAATCCTTTACATTACTTTTTTGTTCTATGTTATGATTTGACTGCATTATGTACGTGGTTTCTGTTTTCATATTTTCATTTTTCCATAGCACAAGAGCTGGAACTTATCTTCATTAAATACCATATTATTTTCTGTAGCCCATTAAAAGACTTGATTTACATCCGATTGGAGGTTTGCTATGTTCTCTCTGTTGTCTACTCTCATAAAAATCCTAGTAACATCTGCAAAGGATGATACAAAGCTATAGATTTGTGTCCTTGTCTATGTCCAATATGAGGATGAGAAACAGTATTGGAGCAAGCACTCCCTCAAGCAAGCATAGTATTGAGCTATTCACGGTTGATGGTCCAGATTTTATTTTGTTGACTATTACACACTTAGTACTGCTAGTCAGGAAATTTTAGATCCATCTGCCTATTTTTCCGGTAATTCCTTTTGCACGCATTTTTGTGTGCAATAACACCATGGTCACATTTGTCGAAGGCTTTTGGGAAATCTGTGTAAATTACATCAGTGTTTTGCTGGTTTTCCCTGGCATCTAAAGCCAGGTCATGGTGGTCCAGCAACTGTGATAGGCAAGAGCACACTGTTCTAAAACATGTTGTCCAGGGTTATGGAGATGCAGTGATTCCATGTATTTTGTGATATTTCTTAACACACACTCAAAGATTTTTATGATGTGTGATGTTAGTGCTATTGGTCTGTAATTTTTTGCCTCTGCCGTATTTCTTCCTTTATGGAGTGGTACTATCTCTGCTGTGTTTAGTATGTCAGGAATAATACCAGTATCTAGGTTTTGCCTCCAAAGAATGTGAAAGGCCTGGCACAGAGTGCATAGGCATACCTTCTATAACTTCTTCAAAATCCAGTGGGGATGGGGTGATATCTAATATATGATTTGATGTTGGCATCACATCCATGAAAAATTCCTTTTGGTTATCAATCTTTAGTGTGTTTAGTGGCTCTCTGAAAATAGTCGTACTGATTCCTCAGTACAGTGGAACCTCGAGTGACAAGGAGCTCCATCTACGAGCATTTTGAGTAACGAGCGAGCCACTTGCCAAAAATGTCTCAATTGATGAACCTCCGCACCATTAACGAGAAAACCATGTGGTGCTTCCTAGCATTCCCGCTGGTTCTCGCAAATTCCTGGACACCTCCGATGATGCAAATAAATTACTTCTTTTAAAAAAGATGCTAATGATGCTGGGCTGTAAAGGGGTGACTATTGTAATGTTGCAAAGCATTGAATTCAGTTTTTTTTTTAATTAAAAAATTTGAAAAAAAAAGAACAAATGTCAAAAATGTTCCTTCAGTGTATATCAGGTAGACTGCTTCATTTTCTATAAAAAAAAATAAAATAAAAAAATGTAACAAATTTGAAAAAAGAAAAATATCAAAGGTTTGTTCAGTGTATGTCAGGTAGGCTGCTCCATTATTTAAAAAATCAAATATATTGATGTTTTTCGGTGGTGGAACGGATTAATTTTATCTTTATTATTTTAAATGGGGAAATTCATTTTGAAAGACGAGCGTTTCACATAACGAGCTCGGTGCCGGAACGGATTAAATTCATTAATTGAGGCTCTGTATTTCTCTCATTTCTTTGTTGTCATCTGTGAAAATTCCAACTGTTTTCATCTCTGCATCATACATATAAAACCCAGATAATAATTGTTTAAATCATCATATGATGATGACTGCATTCCCCAAGTAACATGATGATAACCAGATTTGTACCATAAAATTATAGCAAGATTTTTTTCCCATGGGTCAACGTAAACTCCATTACATCCACATAGACCTATTATATCCATATTTGCATCGTACATGTAAAATCCAGACAAGTATTTAAATCTTTATATGATGATAATGTCATCCTCTGAATCAACAATTGATGATAAACGCTGTCTAAGGGTTAAATCAGCAGTTTTCTCATCTTCCGTGACATTTCGGGTCTTATCATAGTGGTCTAACAATTCTGGGAGGCAATAGCACCCTGTTCTGAATCTATGTTGCCCAGGGTTGTGTAGACAATGATTCCGTGTGTTTTGTAATCTTGCTTCTTAACATACTTCCAAAGATTTTTTATGATATATGATGAGAGAGGTCTATAATTGTTTCTGCCTACTTCACTATCTTATTTGTGAAGTTATGCAATCTCTTGCTATTTTAAGTAGGTCAGGGATAACACCAGTATCTATGCTCCATCTCCAAAAGATGTTTAGGGCTTGTGATACTGTACTGTAACTCTTAATGAATATAGAATTCCAGGAGTCCAGACCTAGTGCAGGGTGCATGGGCATACTGTCTTTGGCTACTTCAAAGTGCACTGGGGTTAGTGTGACATTTGATATGGTTCAAAGTTGGTGTTACATTCATAAAGAATGTTTTGATCATTGATCTTTAATGTGTTCAGGGGTTCACTGAAAACAGAAATATACTGTAGCCTCAATATTTCACTCATTTCTTTGTTGTTATCAGTGATATTTCCATCACCCTTGCACAAGGGCCCAAATGTAAGATGGAATTTTTGTTCTAGATTTTGCATAGGAGAAAAGTATTTTGGATTCCTCACAGTTTCACTTATGGCCTTTTGTTCTCTTTGCCTCTCTTGGATTTAATATGATTCTTGCAGCTTTAGCTTTAGCATTTTTACCTCTGAACATGAATTTCTTTGCTGCTTTCAGGATGGAGTGGAGCATTTTGAGATATTCTGCAATTTGTTTTTTCTTCGCCTGTAGAGGGATGATGTTTTGTTCCAGTTTGCCTCTTTTTCAGTTTCTTCATAGTGGTATGTGACTTGCACACAGTTCTTCTACTATGCCTATTTTCTCCAGCACTGGTTTCATTTTGCATTATCTAGCTGTCTTTCCCAGCATATTTCTGCAAGGTTAATTTTTTCTGGTAATCTGTTTGTTATTAAAGTATAATTCGCTGAATTCTCCTCTCCTTAGATTTGAGACTGATTGTGCAGATCTATTGCCCATGCATGTCTGAACTTTAATTAGGTTGTGATTTGAGTAACATACATTTGTAATCACTATGTCCCTAATCAGCTCATCATTGTAAGAATAAGAGCTAGGGAATTCTATTTTCTGATGGGGTTCTAGTATTTGCTGGTTTAAGGCAAATCTGTCACACATCTGCAAGAGATCATTTGTGTGACTGATCATTTCAACAGTTGTCTGAGGTTCTCTCTGCTCAAATTGTATTGGACACTTTTTTGGTGCCACAAGTTGAAGTCTGTAAGCATGATGACGTTCGGGGCTGGGTTTGTGAGGTTTTCTAAGCAGGATTTTATTTTCATAAGTTGGTCTTTAAAATGCCAAGGATTTGCATCTGGGGATTTACATACAAGGACAATCACCACATTGAGAATTAAAGTGCAATAACTTGCACATGGAGACATATAAATTTGGAGTGGCATCTTAATTTTTAACAAATGCAGCTTAGTAATAAGCTTTCTATAGTAACAGATTGAGCACTGATGTGTGGAGGAATTTACAAAATTGCAGGAGTTTTGTGGATGATACACTAATGCCATCTTTCTCTCACCTGGATGATGCACTAATGCCATCTTTCTCTCACCTGGATGATGCACTAATGCCATCTTTCTCTCACCTGGATGATGCACTAATGCCATCTTTCTCTCACCTGGATGATGCACTAATGCCATCTTTTGTTGTAATCCACAAGTTAGTAGGAATTATTAGCTAGAGGATCATTACTACAACACTTAACGAATGATGATTGGAAGTACATGTAAGTAGACAGACTATGGATCACATATCTAAGAAAGGTCAATGGATTAAGACCGAAGCTGTTTAGCCAAATTAATAATTCCTGGAAAGAGGAATTATTCTTCGTCAGGCTTCTAGGAACAAGATTACCGCTCTAGGGATAAGGTTAATCGGATTATACCTTCCTTGAGAGGTGGGGTGAAATGGTTGAGGCCATGGCTGACTGGAGGCAGTCTGATTGTGGAAGTTGAACGAGCAAGTCCTTTTGGATCCCCGTTTGTGGCAGCAGCGAAGTGTAGCAGACAGCTATGCGAGAGCCTGTTGTGATCTTAGTGACCAAGTTAAGTCTGCAGTATGTGAGTATTGAATGTAAGACTAACCGGGTGTGGAGCGTTGTAGTAATCATTCCGTATTAGGGACTTAGGCGGAAGTTACGAGTGTGGGTGGTGATCGCGGAGGTCAAGTGGTCTATGGGTATTGGAAGTGTATTGACCTAATAGAGTATGTTAATATATAGTATTATTTGTCAGAGTCTATTCTTTGTAATTAAATGACAAAACCCGACGGCCTTTAAATACCTTCCATATGTCCATTCATAGTGTTCCTGGTTTGGTTGGTGAGGGAATGTTAGGGAATTGGTAAACGACATATTTGGTGGCAGCGCAAACAGGTTTTGGAACACTGTGCGAGATGAAGGAAGTGTGGTTCTGGTTTAGTTGGTGAGGGAATGTTCGGGAAATGGTAGACGTCGGGTTGTGGTGAGAATGGTGGTTACTAGACGGAGGAAAGAAGGGTCAGGTGAGACCAGGTCAGAGGAGTTAGTTAATTAAAGGGACTAGGCCATTGTGGGGCACATGTGGGGTTTATTTCTTTCTTTCCAGATTCCCGCAACGAGAGACGGCTAAGAGGCAAGTCTGGACCACTCGGGAACAAGTGCATCGGGATCCAAAACAAGTGCAGTGTTCGTAGTGCGGATTATACAGTGTTCGTAGTGCGGATTATACAGTGTTCGTAGTGCGGATTATACAGTGTTCGTAGTGCGGATTATACAGCGTGGCGAGGTAAACTAGCGCGGGTGAATGTGGGCCAGCGTGGGCCATGTGCGGGCCAAGTGATGGGTGGGCCAAGCGAGCCGCACCTTGGAGCTTGTTTTATATCGTTGGTAAGGCGGAAATAGTGAGAAACCGTTGCTAAGGTGAAATTAATCGTGTAAACTACGTAATTTAAAGTTAATTAAATTTCATGTAACGTGTAAATCGAATATTTTAAGGATAATGAAATATTACCTAAAGTACTGTGCGAGTTCCGGCGTTGTCAGGTGTAGATACAGAAAATAGGCGCAGTGAATTATGGACGCCTTGGCATAGCGAGCGACGCATAATTTGACGTCTAGGGTTCGCCGTCTAGTGTACCCTGGAGAGGGCCATGGAGATTTTTTGTGGGTGCAGGTAGCATTATGGAGAGTGTTAGCGTGGGACACGGGGAGCGTGTCCCGTTGGTGGGGGTGTGTGGCGCCGGGTGTAGTGCATGGTTGTGTATTGGCGTTTGTACGCCGGGGTGTGTAGTGTAATGCATGTGGTGTGTAGTGTAATGCATGTGTAGTGGCTTATTAGACGCCAGCGTAATGCATAGTATTTACTGTAGTGAAATGTGCATGTTTTCACTGTGGATATCATGGATGTAGTATAGTGCATGACATTGTTGGCATTGTAGCGCCAAGGTGTAGCATGTGTAGCATAACTGGTTGTTGTAACACCGGGTGTATTGTAGACATTAGCGTTGAAGTATGTTAACGCAGGTGGTAGTGTGTGGCGGGTGGCCACTACACAAGAAATTATGCCTGACGAGTGTTGGTCAGGTAATTAACGGATTACGAGAGAAAAGGGAGTGTGTGTGGCGTCTGGTTACTTATTGGTGGTGTTATTGGTGGTGACGTCTCGTGGTGTTTTGATGCGCTCTGGCGCAAGGCATATGCCTGTGGTGGTAATGGTGTTGGGGGACGCCGTGTGTGTTGTGTTGAGGGCGTTGGGGACGCCGTGTGTTGTGTTGAGGGCGTTGGGGACGCCGTGTGTTGTGTTGAGGGCGTTGGGGACGCCGTGTGTTGTGTTGAGGGCGTTGGGGACGCCGTGTGTTGTGTTGAGGGCGTTGGGGACGCCGTGTGTTGTGTTGATGGCGTTGGGGACGCCGTGTGTTGTGTTGAGGGCGTTGGGGACGCCGTGTGTTGTGTTGAGGGCGTTGGGGACGCCGTGTGTTGTGTTGAGGGCGTTGGGGACGCCGTGTGTTGTGTTGAGGGCGTTGGGGACGCCGTGTGTTGTGTTGAGGGCGTTGGGGACGCCGTGTGTTGTGTTGAGGGCGTTGGGGACGCCGTGTGTTGTGTTGAGGGCGTTGGGGACGCCGTGTGTTGTGTTGAGGGCGTTGGGGACGCCGTGTGTTGTGTTGAGGGCGTTGGGGACGCCGTGTGTTGTGTTGAGGGCGTTGGGGACGCCGTGTGTTGTGTTGAGGGCGTTGGGGACGCCGTGTGTTGTGTTGAGGGCGTTGGGGACGCCGTGTGTTGTGTTGAGGGCGTTGGGGACGCCATTGGGTGGTGTAGTGTAGTGGCGTTTGGACGCCTGGTATGGAGTGTGGTGTTGTGGAGTATATGGTGGCGCAGGGGCGCCAGGTAGTGGTTGGTAAGGTGAGTATTGGCATAGCAAGGTCGGTGCGTTAGGACGCAGGAAGTGGTTGTGGGGATGTGTGGCGTTATAATGAGGTCATCAGTGGTTGGGATGACCAGAGGTAATGGTGTGTCGGAGTGGGTAAGTCTTATGGATAAGATGAAATGTGGATAATTGCAGGAGTTGGTGGCTGCAGTAGGCGAGCCAAGTCGATATATCTAGCAAGACTCATAAAAGACTAATAAAAATTCATTATTTTCATTAAAATTTTCATTAATTAAGTCGGAGTGGGTAAGTCTTATGGATAAGATTACAATGTAGAATTTCAAAATTTCAGGTGTTGGTGGTTGCAGTGGGCGAGCCAAGTAGATATACTAATTTCTCATTAATTAAGTTGTTACAGGAATCTCGCTAGAAGCGAGCCAGTGGCAGTATGATGCTTTAGTGACATTAGTTGTGAAATTATTTTAATGAGGTATTTATTGTGATAATGTATGTGTATGTATATACTGTATATTACCTCATCGGCACCATTACTGAGTGTTAGGCTTGAGAAGGTCCCCGGGATCATGTCACAGAGCTTCAGGTAGAGTAGAAGGGAAGCTATGAGGCTACACTCAGTAATTCTAGAAAAAAAAGGGGGTGGAAGTGAAGCCAACGTGACGTTATAGGCGAAATTCGCCCCCTGACATCACAGCAGGGATAAGGGCCAGCTGCAATGGTTTTGCAGCTGCGCTCAGGCTATATACGGGGAGAGAGTAAGGAGCCGAGGGGGTTATGTAATAATGGGATCGAGCCAGGGGGCTCCGAGGGAATATTTTGCAGGTACAGCGGTCGGGAAGGTGTGAATACAGGTGGACACACTCTGGGCGGATGGGCCTAGACCAGAGAGCTGTGAGGGATCTACAGCGTTCTGGGATTGGTGCCCTGGAACGAGACGTCAGCACAGACCCAAGGGAACATGACCCTGGGGTAGGAATCTCCGTTGCTCTGGAGGCCAGGATCACGTTACCTCAGAGCAACGATGGGACATTGACAACATTCACCAGGCTGGACAGCCTGGGTTTTGTCTGGGTCATGGAGGATCTATGACCTAGCAACCATGGGACACGAAGACAAGAGAAGTGATGCTGCCAATTGTGGAGGAGGCCAGTGAAACATTGTGTGATCATTGTAAGCCCTTATGTCAACAGTACAGGGCAAGATGTTAAATTATAATTACTAAGGATGAAGAACCTTAGATATATATGTGTTGTGTATATATTAATGACTAGTGTCATTTCTGTTTAAGTGCCAGCATTCTGGTCCATGTAATTTTATGGTTATGTTTGTATGTAATTATATGTCAGCAGTTTAGGTATATGTGCATTGTTGGAGATGGGAAAAATTATTACAGACTATTTTACCTGTTCTATGATGTGAATATAATGTATATGTTGGAGAAGTGTTGTGAGTCATGTCGGGGAAAATTTTAATTTATTTCATCGTGTGTATGATGAACTTATTGGATGATTTTTTAGTTGTACACATATGGTGGGTGCATCCTCCAGGTCCTTGCACTAATGGAACCATTGCAATGATGCATATGGGGACATATGCGTGTTTAAGGAGGGGAGTGGTGTTGTAATCCACAAGTTAGTAGGAATTATTAGCTAGAGGATCATTACTACAACACTTAACGAATGATGATTGGAAGTACATGTAAGTAGACAGACTATGGATCACATATCTAAGAAAGGTCAATGGATTAAGACCGAAGCTGTTTAGCCAAATTAATAATTCCTGGAAAGAGGAATTATTCTTCGTCAGGCTTCTAGGAACAAGATTACCTCTCTAGGGATAAGGTTAATCGGATTATACCTTCCTTGAGAGGCGGGGTGAAATGGTTGAGGGAGATGGCTGACTGGAGTCAGTCTGATTGTGGAAGTTGAACTAGCAAGTCCTTTGGATCCCCGTTTGTGGCAGCAGCGAAGTGTAGCAGACAGCTATGCGAGAGCCTGTTGTGATCTTAGTGACCAAGTTAAGTCTGCAGTATGTGAGTATTGAATGTAAGACTAACCGGGTGTGGAGCGTTGTAGTAATCATTCCGTATTAGGGACTTAGGCGGAAGTTACGAGTGTGGGTGGTGATCGCGGAGGTCAAGTGGTCTATGGGTATTGGAAGTGTATTGACCTAATAGAGTATGTTAATTAATATAGTATTATTTGTCAGAGTCTATTCTTTGTAATTAAATGACAAAACCCGACGGCCTTTAAATACCTTCCATATGTTCATTCATTGTGTTCCAGTACAAACCTAGTGGTACGCCTCAAGGGTCTGGTGTGTGTAGGAGTACACGGTGGTAGTAACGGTTGCTGAGGCAAGGTGTTATGTGTTGTGTAATCGCTGTGTTCGGAATGAACCGGGGTTCAGCGTCACGACAGGACCAGATCCACACACAAGGCATACACTGAGGCAGAATCAGTGGATGAGACAAGAAACAAAGAGCTGCCACTGAATATAAAACAAGATGCACCCCCGGCAGAACCAAGTATCAACAATCAATCGACCCCCTAGGAAACCAACCAACTCATTCTTCCACAGAAAAGAAGGAGCAGGCTGGAGGTGAATAAAACAGCCACTCGAACCAAAGGAATAAAGACACAGGCACCGAAGAAGAGCATGAAACTCCCCAGCCGGCACCCAGAAGCCAAAGCAAGCAAGAAAAAATAGAGCCTTAAAGAAGAAATTCCAGACCAAAGGAAAAACGGGGAATCTAGTGGGAGAGAGAAAGTTGAGCACCCTGTCCTAAAATCATGCTGGTCACAGCGGCACACGAGCAGGCGGCCAGAAGTGAAACAAAGCAGAGACAACTTACGAAACAGGGCCAAGAAAGCAAGCTGTAGTGGCTCTGCCTGCACTGCACAATACAAGGCAACAATATTTGGCATGATGTGCCATTCCAAAATCAACCAGGATAGGAAGGCAAGAACTACCTGTACAGAGATGAGAAAAACTGCAAAGAGAAAGAAATTTGCGGAACCAATGCCAACAGACCTCATACAGCTGTGTTGACAATCTCTACAGATGTGACATCAAGGATGCAACCTGCTTGCTATGGAGATGATGATACACTCATAAAATGTAAAAATCCAGACGCAAAGAGTGAAAGAAAACTTCGAACCAGTGAAGTACGTCATCTGGCCGACCCTCTGGAAGAGGCGGAGCCGTGGAAAGACGTCTGGATTTGAGCACCATGCAAGCAGTGTCAGAAACCAGGATTGGGCTGGCTACCAAGAAGCCAGAAGGATCACTCGCTCCCTGTAGGACTCCAACCTCTTCATGACCCAGAGCAACAGCTGGACTGGACTGGAGAAAAGAACTACAGAATTCCCACCCTGCCTGGTCCTACCAAAATGCATCCACCACAAGGGTCCCACAGTTTGCGAATGGTGCCATGTAAGGGAAGAGATGCCGGAATCAAGCCAACGTGATGAGATCCACGTCCGGATACATGAATGTTCTGCACAGCCCCAAAGGAAAGAGTCGGTATCAACAGTCCATTCCATGGAGACAGGATGTAACCAGGACAAACTGTCAGCCAGGACATTGGACACTCCCAGGACATGAACAGCATGGAGAACTAAATCCTGAGAACCCACAAGAGCCACCTGCAGAGTCCAGGTCCAAAGAGACAGGGACAAACGAGAGCCTCCCTGGTTGAAAAAATGAATCACAGGGGAACAGCCTGAATGGAGCTGAACAATGGAGCCCCAAGTAATCCAAATCCTCTGCAACACATACCACACGACTGCAAACTCCTCCATAGTGTTGTGCGCCTGACAAAGGAAGGAAGATCAGTGCCCCTGACCAGCCTGATGATCCCTGGTCTCAAAAGCCTCAGCTGAGAGTCAAGGAATCTGTGAAAACATTGAACACCAGTGGAGGAAGGTGTCTTGGCACTGAACCCCAAAAAGCTCAAAAGAAGAAGCGAGTGATGCAGTAGCCAATGAGGGGCAAGCAGAATCTGAACACAGCAGCTGATAAAGGGCAAGCCTTTTGCCCTTTATTTATAAAGCCTTTGCCCCTTTTGCAGTCATGATAGCCTTTTGCTATCATGACTGCTGGGTTCAGACCCAGCAGTCATGATAGCAAAGGGGAGAGCCCAGAGGAACCAATAAAGCCTCCGAAGCCATACTCTGCCCAAGAGGTAAACTAGCAGGGCAAAATTGAGTCCCGTACAGCAGCTCAAGCATCCGCCGAGTCACCCGAGGTCAGCTCAACACCAACATCGGGCAGCGCTGTATATAAGATAACTTCACGATATGACCCATACAAGGCTGACCGAGGCAAGGAGAGTGTCGCCAACTGGGAGTCCTAGACAAGGCCCAATCAGGTTCAAACCTGGGGAGGAACCAACTGGGACTTTCTCCCTTTCACTAGGAACCCCAATCTGGTGAGCTGGAAATGAACCAGTTCCCTGGCTAGCAGATATATGGAACAGCTGGGAGCCCAATCCAGCTAGTCATTGAGATATGCCAAATCCCGAATTCCCAAAAGCCAAAGGTGGGTCACCACGACCCAAGTCAAGCACGTAAAAATGCACAGAGAGAGACTATGGTCAAAAGGAAGAACCCAGAAGCAGTAATCCTAACACCACCACAAGAAATCCTAACCAATCCCTGAACTCCAGATGAATAGGAATATACCATTAAGCATCCTGAAGAGCCACAGAGATTCTCGAGGTACCCAGCTTGAGAGCAAGAAAACCTAGGCCAAGATAGTCATCCAGAAGAAGGGGCAAGGAATAAACCAGTTCAGCCTCGAAAGATCGAGGATGAACCAGAGATCCAGAGAATTGCATTTCAGGACCAGAAAAAGGAGGGAACCTGTCAGAGACGAAGTTGTCTCAACAGACGATGGATGGCCTTCTGGAGATGCGGGGAAGAAGCTTGGCCGGAAAAACCTGAACCCAACCCGAAACCTTATAACACGCCCAACAGGATGAGGAAAACCTGAACTTAAAAGAGGCCGGATCCCTTGCTGAGGCATAAACTGGGTCACGCAGGAAGAAAGATCACAAGTCCTCACACGCCTCCAAAAGGGTAAGGCATGAGGATGGAAATCTCTAAGGATGCCCACAGTGAACTCAAAAGGTTTTTGAAAGTAAATCTGAGGGACAGCCACACTCAAATCCAAATCATACAGGGAAGGTGGTTATGAAAAACCCAACTCCTGCTGGAGAAGACCCTCTGCAGAAGACGCAAGGCTCCATAAAAGGTTAAACGGAACCCAAGGCACCATCTCGAACTCCCGTAGTGGCCCAGGGGCATTGTCCTCGCCCACCACATGGGAAAGACCAGCGTAAGGAAGAAACTGATAGGCAAGAAAACCTTGAAGCCTTTGTGAGAGGGTCAACTGCCTCCATGCCCAAATCAGATGCTCATGCTACATCCTGAACAAAGTCCTGCCCTGACTCAAAAGCCATCAGATACTTCAGGGGTTGTTCGAGGGGGAAAAGGGCAACCAACGCCCACCTGGGAAGGACGAGGAGTGGCAGGAGCCAAGGTTGAATTGACCAGCATCTCCAATTCCAAATCCCTAAACACCAACCAGGGCAGCTCCAGGGCATCCAATCGGCCACACAACTTTAACTGTTGTAACCTAGAGAAATGAAGACGAAGAGCAGTTGCTGCCTGGTAAGCCCAAACATCAGCAGGGCTGGAAAGGATAGACTTGTGATGGGAACATGTCCCCACATGACTCGGGGTCGAAGGTGTCATCGACACGAAGGGGGAGGGGGACCCCTGACAGCTGAGTGGGCAGCGCTTCGGATTCATAGTCCTGAGGTTCCGAGTTCAATCCCTGGTGGAGGCGGAAACAAAATGGATGGTTTCTTTCACCCTGATGCCCCTATTACCCAGCAGTAAATAGGTACTTGGTAGTTAGACAGCTGCTACAGGCTACTTCCAGGGTGTGTGTAACAAAAAGGAGGTCTGGTCGAGGACCGGGCTGTGTGGACAACAAGCCCTGAAATCAAGATAACCTCAAGATATGACCAAGAGGTACTGGTATGTGATGCCGATGGTCTACAGTAAATCAACCCAGCCTGGATTAAGCGGCTAGGGAAACCAATCTCTGCACGATGAAGCGCAGCATCCGTGTAATCAGTGATGCCCTACCAGCCTATGATGTCCCCAACTGAGGAAGAGACGGTGATTGAAAAGTCTCTAGACTCGCTCCAGGACAAAAATCCCCACAAGTGAGATGATTGTTTTACTCACCAACTCACTTGTGGTGGTGAGGTGACAGTCCTCTGAAGACATGTTCCCGAACACTCCAGAGAAGTGTTCGGGGACATTCCAAGTGCACAAAACTCCTGCCCCATACACTAAAAAGTGTAAGGAACAGCAACTAAGGAAAATAAACCAAAAAGTAACACTGGAGCCAGAGTGAGAGTGGCAGCCCAATACACAGAGGAGAACTGAAGGTGGAGTGGCCTATGAGACATGGGCTGCCCTCCTCCTCCCCCCAAATGAGGGTGAGGGTGGAGCGAACGAGCAAACTCTAGTTCATAACGCTTTCAGTAGTTTGTTTACATAGTTTTGGAGGAATTCTTTAGCCGTTTTAGAGTCTGCAGATATAGGAAGAAGCCAGCTGTGGTTTGTTTTATCTTGCCAGCTTTTTGGGGGGACTTCCCTGGTAGTGATATACACAAATATCTCAATATATAAATGCCTTAGCTTCCTGCGAGGAGAGTGGGTTCTGGCTCTCTGGTAAGCCTGAGAACTCCACAACTGATGGCATCTAGTAAATAACGCATGCATCTTTGATGTGTGTGTGTGTGATCTACAGGGAGCCACAAGGGGTTACCCCCAAGAAAAATTATCTCAAATAATTAGGTGCAAAACGGTATTTTAAAATTACTAAATTACAATAACAGATCAATTAAATTAACTATGAAATTACCTAATATACTGCACTAATAAACTAATACTAATAAAATTAGTATTAATAATAATTCACTAATAAAATGCATGCATCAAATAAAAAAATCACTTGAAAATTTGTATTGTTATTACCGAAGACATTGAAATACGAAAGGTTACTAACGGCTAGAGTGTAATACCTGCCAAGTTATTAATATACTTACCCTGATTACGATCTAGACGTGTAACTTTTTCATAATCTCTGACAGCTTCTTCATGTTTTTCTAACAATTGATAACATTTTGCTCGCCGAAGATATGCTTTCACATAGCCCTCATCAAGGTTAATAGCTGCAGTGCAGTCTTCTGTGGCTTGCTCAAGTTTATTTATCTGTTAAGGAATAAAAACATTTTTGTCAGTGAAAAGTTCAATTTAATCTTAATTTCACACAAAACCAAAATATAAGTAATAACAGTTGTAATTTAATTATCCCTACTAATATGTGGTTAAGGTACATAAACCTAGAAAAAAAACATAAGAACGTGTGGTTTAATACAATTAAGTGTGGAATGAGCCGACACAAATCGGGTCCTTCAATGGGCCATAGAAAACATGGTCTATGAAGATGAGTTTCAGCTACCAAATGGGGGGAGAAAAAAAATATAGAAACTACATATAAAATGCAGTCAAATCACACAATAGGCACCCTCCTCCGCCTGGGTGCCGCCGGATCACGTCCTGTTTTAGCTTTGCTACTGCTGTTTGGCATCCCTCTTCAACGGTCCGATTGTACAACACCTGGCGCACATATCACCTTGGGTCACGGGATTGTTGGTAGATTTTTTTTTGACGTGTTCTGGATGGTTCTCCCGGCGGGGTGACGGTGTTCGAGGGCCGGCTTGGCCGAGAGGTGCCAGGGGTTGGCGGGTCTTTGTGGGCTCCTGTTGTGCCCTCAGCCGTGGTGGGCGGCCGGCTTCTGCTCTGCCGGAGGACATTGGATGACTTTTTGCATTTTAGTTGGGGGGCCGAGTTTTGGTTTTGCTACCTGGTGTTCTGTGTGTGGGGCGGGGCCGGTGCTTATCCCCCTGAGGGACTCCTGGGGCTCCCCAATCATCTACCTGATTGTGCATTTATTTGCCATATGGCATATTAGTTTCTAGTGATTGGCGTCACTCGTTTCACGTTTTGGCTTGGCGTTTCACCTTTCCTGGCTTCGCGATTCACCCTTAACGGGTACGCCGGGGCGCATCTGATCCCACGATCGTCGTCGCCCCTAAATCAACATCAACAATAGGAAGTAAAAGCAACAAAGTACCCAAAGGCCTTTTTTTAAAGAACACTGTAAAGTAGCTGTCACAGATGTCTTTTACTGCCTAAATCCATTCACTACACCACCTAAATTATTGGGAATGTTTAAAGTTTCTCAAAACTATTATCTATAGCACATGCATACTAATTTACACTTCGAAAATACTAGAAGGGAATAGTTCCAAATCAGCACATGGGAATAACAAGACAAGGAGGCGGCACGGCAGAAGTGCAAATATCCCCGTTATAAAAAAACGGAGGTGAAATAAGTATGCTGAAACATTTTTATCAACATAATGAGGACTAACACATTTCAACACAATTCACCTACAATTAAGAGGCATAACCTGCGAACCTCTCGTTGTTCTAAAGAGAATTTGATAAATAGCCACAACGGATACTTGATCAGCGAGGATTCTATTCATCCATCAGATTGCGAGCAGTTGTGCCTATCACCTGGTTGACCAAATCACAAACCAGGAGGCATAATCACAGACTTGGCCAAGTGAACATTGATTCCCTGATCCAATGCAAGATAAACATAAGGTACCCTGTATTATATTGCAGGAGTTTTGTCAACCAGTTTGTTCTTAAAGAAGTATGACTGACAGTGAAAATTGATGATAAAACATTAGCCTCCATGCACTGTATATTCAAGAATATATAAACTGGATACCTTGCACAAGAATCCTTTATCAGCAGCTATAGGACCCTTTCTGGCACGAGTTGGTTATTTGAAGCAGTCCCCTTGGCATAGTGCAAAAGCACTTGTCTGGCGCTTCGCGAGCGCTTTGGCCTGGTTCATATCCTGGCAGGAGAGGATTGACCGGGTGCCAATCCTTGTAGCCTCTGTTCACCCAGCAGTGAATGGGTACCTGGTTGTTAAACGATTTGGCAGGACGTATTCCAGGGAAAATTAGGATTAAGGACCTGCACAAAACCCTATGCATGCTAGTGGCTTTACAAGAACGTAAGAACTCTTGTATTGTATATATATATATATATATATATAAATAAAAAAAGATAAAAAACAATTAAAGAGAGCCAAGACAATTTAGGACTGACATTTTTGGTGCATGGTGAGAGGACAAGGAAAAGATTAAAGCATGAATGAGAGCATAATGCAACGAGTGAGAGAGGAATCCAAAATACTTTTCTCCTATGCAAAAACTAGAACACAAAATACATCCACAAGGATGATGAAACTTTTACAGATGACACAAAAAGAAATGAGTGAAATACCAAGGCTTCAATACAATTGTTTTCAGATAACCCCTGAACACATCAAAGATGAATGATCCAAAAGAATTCTTTATGAATGTGACACCAACATCAAACCATTTATCAGATGTCACCCTAACCTCACTGGACTTTGAGATAGCCATAGACGGCATACCCATGCACTCTGCACCAGGCCCAGACTCCTGGAAATCTATAATCAAGTGCAAAACACCACTATCACAGACCCTAAACATCTTTTTGGAGACAGAGCATACACAATGGTCTTATCCCTGACATACTAAAAACATCAAAGATCACGTCACTTCACTAAGGAGGTAGTAAAACAGACAAAAAATTATAGACCAATAGTGCTAACTTCACACATCATAAAAATCTTTGAAAGTATGTTAAGAACCAAGATTACAAATCACATGGAATCACAACATCTACATAACCCCAGACAACACTGATTCAGAACAGGCCACTCCTGCCTCTTAGAATAGCTAGATCACTATGACATGGCTTTAGGTGCCATGAAAGACGAGCAAAACGCTGATGTAATATACACAGACTTTGTAAGAATTTTCAACAAATATGAACAGTGTTATTGTGCTCAAAATATGCTCAAAAGGAATTACTGGTAGAGTACAGAGAAGGATCTTTAACTTCTTACCAAACAGAACCCAGAATGTAGTCAACAAAATAAAATCCAGATCATTCACCATGAAAAACTCCGTTCCACAAAGGTACTATGCTTGCTCCTGCACATTTTCTTACCTTCATTATCAGAAATAGACGTGGATACAAGCTACATTGCCACATCATCAATTGCAGATGACACTGGAATCTTTGTGCGAGTAGACAACGTAGAGGACACAGCAAACCTCCTATCTGATTTTAATCAGATCTTCCAATGGACTACAAATAATATGATGTTTAATGAAGATAAGTTTCACCTCCTGCATCACGGAGAGAAAAAAAGAAAAACAAAATGCCATACATAAAATGCAGTCAGATAACATTACAGAACAAGAAAGCAATGTAATGGATCTAGGAGTAATCATGTCAAAAGACCTTACTTTCAAATACCACAATGTAGCTATCACAACAGGAAGTAAAAGACAGGTTGGATAACAAGAACCTTTCAAACAAGGGATGCCACATCACTGATGATGCTTTTCATATTAGTGCTCTCTCTAGGGTGGAATACTGTTGCACTTTAACAGCACCATTCAAAGCTGGAAAACCAATGCTGAGCTGGAGACCAATGAAGAGCCTTTATTGCTAGAATCCACTCTATAGAACATTTAAATTATTGAAACCAATTAAATGTTCTAAATCTGTATTCTCTAGAGTGCTGATGAGAGAAATACATAATAATTTATACCTGGAAAATATTAGAGGGACTGGTTCTATATCTGCACACAGAAATAGCATCACATGAAACCATGAGGCATGGCAGGAGGTACAAAAAACAACTCATTAAAAGTCAGAGGCGCAATAGATATGCTCAGAAAGAAACTATCAACATCAAAGGACCAAGACTTCAGCATTTTTCTCTACACATAAGGGGCATAGCTGGCTGGCCTCTCATGGTGTTCAGAGAGAAATTAATAAGCTCCTCTAAAGGATAACTTATCAACCAGGCTGTGATTCATATATCAGGCTGCCAGAGCTGTATCCAACAGCCTGGTTAACCAATGGATACAGCTGCTGTATCAACGAGGAAGCCCGATCAACCACCAACCAGGAAGCCTGGTCAGAGACCGCACCGCAGGGACGGTGATCTTCTGAATCATAGCAAAGTAAGGAGTTAACTGTGGCTATGCCATGAAGGGGAACTATCAGGAGAAAATGCAAGCCATTACGACTATATCCTGTATAGCACTGGGAAGGGATCAGGATGTGGGAATGAGGGGAAAAAATGGTGCCCAACCACTTTGACAGTTGGGGATTGAACGCTGGCCTGCAGGAGACTATGCCATGAGAATACAGTGAAATCTAAAAAATCCACAACACAGACGCATATCCAATCGAGATTCATGAATACAGTACTTCAATACACACTGAAATCACAATAACGTGAGATGAGAAAATCCCTGGAGCAAGGTAGTGGGATGACAACAGTGGCCGGGATCACCCCAGACGCAAGCCTTACCCATGGACCAATGTGCACATTGTAGTTCATAAGTAAAGTGTACATCTGGGGTGACCCAGGACACTCCCCTGCCATGTTCCCATTTTCTCACAGTAATTAAAATGCTATTTTATAGTTATCAACAAATTTGACAGATTTTTTAACAATAAATGACATAAACGTTTTTACTGAGTTAGACAATGCCAGTACATAAATAATTATGTATATAAATAATATAAAAAACATTGTAGTCAAAGTAATCCAGAGGCAGCAAAATGCAGTATTAATGCACTAAAATTAAGATATTGGAAAACAAATGAATACATAATAACTTCAAATTCTTACCTTGGAACCCACTGTAGCCCGGTTAAAGTACAGCTTGGCATTGGTATGTTTATTGAGAGGATCAATGGCGAGAGCCTCGGTATATAAATTAAAGGCCTCCAGGAAGTTGCCCTTTTTGAATGCATCATTGCCCTCTTCTTTCTTCTGTTTCAATAGCTTTGCTTTCTATAGAAGAAAAAGAAAATGCTTACAATCAAATGTAATAAACTCAACAACAAGAACGGTGACACTGGTTGACAATCCAGTAAATTACACATCTTGCATTGCCAAAGCATTAATATAAACAAGAAGTACGTCATTTCAGAAAATAATTAAATCTTCTTAAAATGGTTAAAATACAGACATTAAAATGTCTTGCTTCTGACCCACTAGTACTGTATAAACCAATATCTAAGGCTAATTGATTTAATCACAAAAGTTTGATAAGTCATCTCATAGTGGCTCAAAGTTTAGAATGCAGCCAACCTTAATGCTATGATGTACTTTACAAATTTTACTTTTAATGTCTTTACAGTACTATATCTACCCTTTTATATACATGATCCTCTATTCTATTCCTGAATAAAATTAATTGCAATGCTTATCAAGCACTGCAAAACTTAACCTTCCATCCATGGATATTTGGACAAAAATGACTGTACTGCACATATATTCTCTCCATATATAAATATATAACAATTATAGCAACTAATTATAGTATAGCTTCCAAATGACAAACATGCAATTTACAAACCATAACCTAAAATGCTTAGACAAACAAAAATGTGCCAAAAATGGAAATATCAGTATTAGAAAGTACACCTTAAAAAATAAAAATATCTGCTCTCACTGTACTGCACTTGGATAACTAAGAATATGTGATCAAACCATATCCACAAAATAAAAACCACGTACATATACACAAAATTGTACATCAAAATCCGAGATGTGATACCTGTCCCTCTAATGATGTACAGTATAGAGGACTAATTGACACTAAAATCATCATCTCACCTTATAAACATCACGAGCCTTCTGGTGATCAGGAGCTAGGCGTAAAACATGTTGGAAATGATTGAAGGCAGCTTCGGGATTATCCTGGTAGTACAGGCACATCCCTCTCACATATATCGCATCTGCATTTCCACTCTCATACTGTAGAATCTCACTAAGAAAGAAGATACAGTATTTTGTTAAAAATCCATTATCAAAATAAAGCCGACGCAATTCCACGAGGGCAATTAATTATGAAAGTTATTCCTGCGTCACTATGTCTCACAATAGCAATAGTATTAAATGAGGGTTGGTGATGCGAGTACAATGATGTAACTAGTGCATGGGCGGTGTAACTAGTGCATGGGCGGTGTAACTAGTGCATGGGCGGTGTAACTAGTGCATGGGCGGTGTAACTAGTGCATGGGCGGTGTAACTAGTGCATGGGCGGTGTAACTAGTGCATGGGCGGTGTAACTAGTGCATGGGCGGTGTAACTAGTGCATGGGCGGTGTAACTAGTGCATGGGCGGTGTAACTAGCGCACGGGCTGTGTAACTAGCGCACGGGCGGTGTAACTAGTGCATGGGCGGTGTAACTAGTGCATGGGCGGTGTAACTAGCGCACGGGCTGTGTAACTAGCGCACGGGCGGTGTAACTAGCGCATGGGCTGTGTAACTAGCGCACGGGCGGTGTAACTAGTGCATGGGCGGTTTAACTAGCGCACGGGCGGTGTAACTAGTGCATGGGCGGTTTAACTAGTGTAGGGCAGGTCACAAACCTTTATTTATATGAATTATAGTAGATGTAGGCTCACTTTTCTTTTTCTTTTTGTTTTTTACACTTGGGGGAGGAGAGGGGAGGGTTTGTCTGTGGTCCGATGAGTCAAATGAAATCCCACATGGAACAAATTACCCTCACCCCATATAGTTCATTCAAGTGAGAACACACTGTATTCATCTTTTCAACAATACTTTCAACTCATCTCCCATTAAAATTTTCATGAAATGCTACTTAAATATCAACCAAATCTTCTTACTGTAACTAGTAAACTCACTTGACCATTTCCTGTGCATCAGCATAGCGTTGCAAGAACACAAGATATTCTGCTTTCGTAATTTTCAAGTTTCGGCATCCAACAGCCAGATCTAACGCTCGATCCAAGTGGAATATGGCCTGAATGAAGAAACTTGTGTTAGTAAACAATGAATTATTCTTAGTTAAGAAATGTAAAGTAGAAGATGCATAATGCTAATTATGCAAATACTGTAACAATAACAGATGTTCACACTGCAAAATTTGGATACAGTATGAGGATATATATCATCAAGAACACAAGAGTATAATTGCTACCTTATTTACAGCACTTATGTTTTTCGTGATATCCCCATAATGCACCCAGTGTGTGCCAGTGTAGACTACTGATCACATGGCCCTGTATGACTAACCATCCTGTGTGATGGGGATTTTTAGCATCACGTAGCTAGTTCTTGAACACACTACTTTCAGTAGTGTGATTTTACAGCATTTTATTTGTGGTTTCTATTTTTATATTTGTTATATTCCACAGTGCAGTAACTGGAAATTATCTTCATTATACATGATGATATTTTCTGTGGTCCATTGAAAGACCAGATTAACGGTGGGTTTGCTTAACGTTTGCTTTGATTAACGATCAAAAGTTTACTTGGACCTCTATATTGTCTACTTTCATAAAAATCCTAGTGTCATCTGCAAAGGATGATACAGTACTATAGTGTAACTACAGTAAAAGCAAGCAATATTATAGCAAGCAGTAATATATAGGATTAAAAAGCAACCAAGTAATTGTTTGTATTCATGTCTATGTTTGATAGGAAGAGGAAAAAATGCCAGTACAAGCACAGCATAAGCCTTGTAAGAATAAGCTTTTCATGGTTGATGATCCAGATTTTCTTTGTTGACTATTACACTCTTCATTCTATTCATTACAAACTTAAAGATCCATCTCTAATTTACCAATAATTCCATTTGAGCGCATTTTGGTTGCAATAACACCATACCTTGAGGTTACCTTGAGGTGCTTCCGGGGCTTAGCGTCCCCGCGGCCCGGTCGTCGACCAGGCTTCCTGGTTGCTGGACTGATCAACCAGGCTGTTGGACGTGGCTGCTCGCAGCCTGACGTATGAGTCACAGCCTGGTTGATCAGGTATCCTTTGGAGGTGCTTATCGAGTTCTCTCTTGAACACTGACGGGTGTGCCAGTTATGTCCCTTATGTGTAGTGGAAGCGTGTTGAACAGTCTCGGGCCTCTGATGTTGATAAGAGTTCTCTCTCAGAGTACATGTTGCACCTCTGCTTTTCAACGGGGGTATTCTGCACATCCTGCCATGTCTTCTGGTCTCGTGTGGTGTTATTTCTGTGTGCAGGTTTGGGACCAGCCCCTCTAATATTTTCCACGTGTAAATTATTATGTATCTCTCCCACTTACGCTCAAGGGAGTACAGATTTAGGCTCTTTAGTCGGTCCCAATAGTTTAGATGTTTTACTGAGTGGATTCTAGCAGTAAAAGATATCTGCATGCTCTCCAGGTCAGCAATTTCTCCAGCTTTGAAAGGGGCTGTCATTGTGCAGCAGTACTCCACTCTAGAGACCACAAGCGTTTTGAAAAGTATCATCATCATCGGTATAGCATCTCTAGTGTGAAAAGTTCTTGTTATCCAACCTGTCATTTTTCTTGCAGTTGTGACGGCTACTTTATTGTGTTCTTTAAAGGTAAGGTCTTCCGACATGAGTACACCCAGATCCTTTACATTGCATTTTCGTTCTATGTTATGATTTGCCTGAGTTTTGTACGTGGTTTCCGTTTTTATATTTTCATTTTTCCCATAGCGCATGAGCTGGAACTTATCTTCGTTAAACACCATATTATTGTCTGTAGCCCATAGAAAGACCTGATCTACATCTGATTGGAGGTTTGCCGTGTCCTCTATGTTGCCTACTCTCATGAAGATCCTAGCGTCATCTGCAAAGGATGATACAGTGCTATAGGTTGTGTTCTTGTCTATGTCTGATATGAGGATGAGAAAAAGTACTGGAGCAAACACAGTACCCTGGGGGACTGAGCTCTTCACAGTTGATGGGCTGGATTTTATTTTGTTGACTATTACACATTAGGTTCTGTTAGTCAGGAAATTGTAGAACCATCTGCCTATTTTTCCGGTAATTCCTTTTGAACGCATTTTATGTGCAATAACACCATGGTCACATTTATCAAAAGCTTTTGCGAAATCTGTGTAAATTACATCCACGTTTTGTTTGTCTTCCATAGCATCTAATGCCATATCATAGTGGTCCAGCAACTGCGACAGGCAAGAGCGCGCCCTGTTCTGAAACCATGTTGTCCGGAGTTATGGAGATGCTGTGATTCCATGTATTTTGTGATCTTACTTCTTAGCACTCTCAAAAATTTTTATGATGTGATGATGATGATTTTTATGATGTCAAAAATTTTTATGATGTGTTTATAAAAAAATATTTATGATAAATTTGTATGATTTTTATGATGTTTTTATGATTATTCCACTTTTAGAATACCATGGTCACATTTGTTGAAAGATTTGGTCAAAATTTGTGTATATTGCATTAGCATTTTGCTCGTCTTTCATGGCATTCAAGGCTGTCTTAGTGGTCTAGCAGTTCTGAAAGGAGGAGTGCCCTGTCTTACTCATGTAGCCCAGGGTTATGTAGACACTGACTTCATGTATTTTATGATCTTACTTTTTAGCACTCTTTCAAAAATTGATGGGGTGTAGTTAGAGCTACTAGTCCATAATTTTTCCATCTGCTTCACTATTAGTTTTGTGAAATGATATAATATCCGGTGTTTTAAGTATACTGGGGATAACACGTGTATCTAGACTCCATCTCCAAAAAATATTTAGTGTCTCTGACGGTGTTTTTTGTTTTAAATTTTTTATGAATATAGAATTCCATGCTAGGTGCAGTGCCTGGGCATGCTGTCTATGGCTACGTCAAAGACCAGTGGGCTTAGGGAAGCATCTTATATATGGTTCAATGGTGGTGTCACATTCATGAATTTGTGTCACTGATCTTCAATATGTTCAGGGGTTCACTGGAAACTTAATTGTACTGTATCATCTGTAGTTCACTCATTTCTATGTTGTCATTTGTGAAAGTTCCATCACCCTTGTTCAAGGGCCCAATGCAAGATGTAGTTTTTGTTCTAGAGTTTGCAAGTACAGTACAGGGTTTTTGAGAGTTTCTAAGCAGTATTCTATTTTTTTAAATTGGTCTAAAATGATGAGTATTTGCATCTGGTGATTTATACACAAGAACAATCACCACATTTAGAATATCTTTTGAGTATCAGCACTTCCACCTGGTGTTCTTCTAAACATTTGTGGTGTTTAGGAGCAAATGTGGAAATGCTGATAATTTAAAAATCTAACAGTGGTGATCCTCCTTGTATACTAGCACATGGTCAAACTATAGCTTTCATTGTTACCATCTTTTCTTCTTTTTAATCAAAATACATCTTGAGGTTATCTTGAGATGATTTCGGGGTTTAGTGTCCCCGCGACCCGGTCCTCGACCAGGCCTCCATCCCCAGAAAGCAGCCCGTATCAGCTGTCTAACTCCCAGGTATCTATTTACTGCTAGGTAACAGGGACATCAGGGTAAAATACATTTTGCCCATTTGTCTCCACCTCCACCGGGGAGGTGGAATTACATACAAATTACATACTGTAATTTGTTTTGCTTCACCAATATATTCTGGGAAGCTTTGCTCAATTTTGGGTTAATCTCGGCTCCCAATACAGTACTCTTAATCGCCTCTATGAGCACAAAGGATTCTCGTCCTGGTGATGGGTAGGCCAGCACAGCACAGGATAAGATGTGTATACAGATTAGGACCCAGAATTGACTCGTCTAATTAGCGTACAATGAAAGATATTTGTTATTCTGTACTGTATATAGCTCCTCAGGCTATCTGTAAGTGATAGCATACAAAGTTCTAATACTCTGTTCAACACAGTGCTCTTTCAAAAATCCAGATCAACATAACAGCTCCGTCTAAACGACAAACCAAATTTGGCCACTTCAAAGAATTCAGATTTGTTATAAAAAAATAAAAATAAAACTTTATTCCAGGAGAATATGATAAGAAATCTGAATAACTGGTAAAGTAATATCCTGCAGATTATAAAAATATAAAGTAATATGATCCTGCAAATCATACTTAGTTGGAATTCATTATATTCCTGTGCATTTATCATCATTAAGTGTAGGTCAGTGATGCCAGCCGAGGTGCCATAAATAATACTCTGAAAATGGTTATGGAACAATCTCATTAAATATTGATTGGAACAAGTTCATAAGATACTTCAATGGTAGAGGAAATTTATGCATATAGTGTAGGAAAAATTAGGATATGAATGGTAATTCATTTAATATTGCTTTTACTGCATTTGTTAATGATTTTGAGAGAAATGAAAACGAGATAAATAATTTGCATTGTGAGAAATCCTTTAAGTATAATTAAACAAAACTATGATTCCAGATTTTAGAGGAAGCACTATATTATACAGTAGATAAACACTAAAGCCTAAAATTGTAAGTGGCAATAGTCTATGGTCAGTTCAAATTAACGAGTCTTCACTTACTGTTCTGTAGTCAGCCTTGGCTGTTGCCTTGACCACTTCTTCTTGGCATCGAACGAGGCTCTGGGCTTTACTTGTCTCTTCTCGTAGGGCCTTATTGTTGGGTTCTAGTTCGTTTGCTTGTCGCAGGACTGAGAGTGCTGCAGTGGCATCACCAAGGGCTATATTACACTTTGCAACACGAAGGTAGCCCTGAAAAATAAAAGCAAGGTATCCAAATTCAGACTATTTTCAACAATAAATCTTAAAAGTTTTGTTTTGAATTTTTTGAAAGCATCAAGAAACACACACCAAGCACAGCAAAATAACACAATTATATTGAGACAGCATCAAGCCACACTTATATTTTGTTAGTGAATCATGAACATTAAATGTGTCATTCTTCTGTCAATAAAACAATAACTAATGACAGTGTGAAACTCTAAATTATGATACAGGTACTGCAATCATTTACACTATAAAGATGTCCCTTCAAAGACAATTATTGTAAAATGTATAAACAACTTCTGGACATGAAGGCCAACTATATTTGATACTGTATTAGTATGGGCCTAAATTAATAAAATTCTGAACATTTAGCATCTAGATGATTACTGCCTCTCTTTTTCCTTATTTATTTATTTCCCACTGCTTGACCATTCTTACCTTTACAAAGGATGTGTCTAAACGCACAGCTTCTCTGGCATCATTGAGAGCTTCATAATACTTGCCAAGCATCATGTAACATGCTGACCGATTGCTAAAGTAAGCCGCACAATCTGGACACAGGTCTGTTGGAACGAGAGTGAAAATTCATGAGAAACTAACACAAATTAAGTTACAAAATTCAAACCACACATGTTACTTACCAACCTAATTAGTTAATCATGTTCAAATTAGTAACATTTTGGTTATTATCAATTGACAATTAAACTGTTCCACATACAATTGTCAGTCAACCATTTCCACATACAGACTGGAAGTCTTGATTCCATGAATATTAATTTGATTGAACCCATGATCTGGGGAACAAAAATTGGCTTCCAGATAATTCTTGATTTTATTATCCTCCAAAAACAATGGTACTGTATCTAGTAATTCTGGATGCAATGTATAAAATACACACGTGCAGAAAATAGTCCACATTTTTAACTATTGATACAACCAACCCTTCTGGAATGATAGTACTTAATTAAAATAACTATTTGCTCAAAAGTACTAATTTGTATTAATGGACCACCAAAAAGTTCAATTTTTTGTACTTTTAATTTGATAGTGAAGAATCAATAAAGCTAAATACTAAACTTAAACATTTCTAAGCCTAATACATTACATATATGTATTATACTTAAGGCCAGTACAGTACAGGCCTATGTACTATAGCATAAGAATGTTAAAAAAGTAGTTCATGTGCCGCCCATGCTCGAAGTTCGTGTGGTGGCTGTTTTCCCTCCAGTTTGATATCTAATGTTTGGCTTCTGTCCCAAGCACCCATTTTCATAAATTTGTATTTACTGGACTAACTTCATTTATCACTTTTTGGACCATTCTGTCAAGATAGTCCTGAATTTCCCTCTTACATCCACATAATTTTCCATGAGATCATTCACATAAATCAGGAGTGGAATAGTGCCTGAAACTGATTGTACTGTACTATTAATGTCTTGCCACTCTGATAACTTAAATCAATCAGCTGTCACCCATGCTAATATTTTGCCTTAATGTTATCCCAGACGGTTGTAGAGTGTAGTAACGGCCTGGTCTTCCCTGTTGGTTATGTGCAGGTGACGGTTCCCACGGTTGCCTGCCCGCCGCCATTATTGTCGCCTCCCCACTTCGATCTCCTCCAACCTAGTCATTTCTATAGAGCCCACTTCTCTGAAAGGCTAATGATTTTTTTGTATCCCTTGGTGAGGAAGAGCATGACTCAATTTTCTTATTCTTCCAATGCAGCTTTTCAATATTCATAAATTATTTTGTTTAACGTTTAACAGACTGAATAATATTTTGCCAATCCTAACAAAGCGAGTCGGAGTTTACTCTATACAAGGACTATTCACCAACTGAGGATTCCTGTACAGTATATATTGTACTGCTGGTTATTGAATGCTCAGCAACATTCCACCTCAAATCGCTAAGGAACATAAACCTATGGTACAGTATGTATTTATCTACAATTATGAAGAAATGTGTCAACAGTGATGAAGTAAAAGTTTTTAAACTTGGCGAAGGACCAATGGCGTGTAACTACGCTGTAATTCTTAGGAGAATCATAGTACAGAATTTTTTTTTTAAATATTGTCCTCCTTAGAATCTTACTACAGTATGTAAACCAGCCACATTAGAAGACTACAGATGTTAATTTTTATCTTGAATATCAGAGTGCAGTACTGTGCAATACTGTTTATTCAAATGGCACAGAAGTAACAATTTTTCCTATTAATTTTCTGTTAACTGAACTTGATGAAGATATTGAAATTATTATCAGTGTCAAAATTATCACTAAAATTTTAACCATAAAAATAGAATGAACCAAAATGAGTACATCTGGCTGCCTCACTGCCACCATTAAGTGGTCAACTGAAAATTTCTTTGGCACCGTGAGGAGGAGGAGTCAATTGGCACCTTATAAACACAATATTCATCTGCCCTAAGGTTAGGTTTACATTCTCTGCACATGGAAATAATTCTTCAAGACCAGGAAGCAATGGAGGACTGCACCACAGCCCAATTAAACCATACAAATGTAATAACTATAAGAGCACTCAATGTCAACCACCTCCGTTTCAAAGTAAAGGTAATTACTGTACCAGCAGACCCAAAATAATGCAAGAGGGAGCTGCTAAACATCCCCCAAAGAATATTTGATCAATCAGGCTGCAGTGGCTATGTTGGATTATGATCTGTAAGCACAAACAACTTGACTAAGACTTGACAAGAGGGCCTCGTCATAGACCGAACCATGGGGGGGGGGGACAACCCAAAAATGCCACAATAAGTGCAACCTTCCATAATCCCCCCCCCCCCCTTTCCAACAAAAAAGAATGTGTTCCAAACAGGACTAAGGTGAGGAATCAAGTAGACAAAATGTGTTATACATAGCACCTTACAGACCTATCAATCAATCAATCACAATAGGTTGTCAAAATAAACATAAAAGAATCATACTAGTGTGCAGTTCTTATCTTGTTTAACAAAGGACGAAGCTGAATAAATTAGAGGTATATCACCAGACTTGTTACAGCGTCGAGATGGCAGACAGGGACATTATTTGGGATGGGTGGTACACAAACAAGAGAACACAGGTGGGGTACAAAGTACCATACGAGTCAGACACTGGGAAAAAGAGTCAGTGTCAGTAATGAACAAATTAAATGTATTAATTAGTTCAGTGGTAGGCACAAATTCTACCTATTCAAATATAGATATGACAGAGCCCAATACACTAGGAAACCTGTACACCAGTTGACTGAAGGATGAGAGTCTGGACCAAAGAGCTAAAGCTCAGCCCTTGCATGCACAATTAGGCAAGAACCTGTATAGAAACCCTTAAAGAAAGAAGACACAAGAGGGAAAATACTAAAGGTGAATAGCAGTAGAAAAAGAAGTGCGTACCCACAGGAATTCAGTCAATACTTTTAAAAATACAGTACAGAACAATAAGGAACACAAGTCATTGCACTAACTGACCACTGACAGGAAGAGTGAAACTTAGAAGCTGAATATTAACTCTTACAAACACATCTAGGTGAGCACACACAGGTATGCATGTTGGTGAAGGATGGCAACACATTATTGCATGGACGAGGAAGAGAGGGGGGGGGGGGGGCTGCTGATCGAACAGAGGAGCAGACGCGAGCCTGTGTGTGGCGAGAAAATTTGTGAATGAGTAGTAAGGTAAACACAGGAAGCACTGCATCATCCACCACCACAAGGTACATCACATTAGCGGGAAACAGTCTTAAGCGACAAAACTCCCACACAGTTTTATAGCCCAACTGACAGCTGAAGCATACAAAGTCTGCTTGAAGCATGTGCCTGTGAGGAGGGTCAGAAAGAGGACCACTCTAGAAAGAGAAAGTAGACAACTGTACATAAGGAAAAAAATCCCAAAAATACTCCTTAAACAGACACGATTATCACAAGCAAGGAATATAAATCTAAACAGAGATTGAAGAAAAAGAGCAGACACGGAAGTGATCATACGACTGAGGACATGGAATTGGAACAAAGCTATAAAAGAAATAAGGAAAAATCCAAAATATTTTTTCCACACATGCAAAATCAAATCAAAAACCTCTAACAGTATTGGACCTTTAATTACAACCGAAGGTTTGTACATAGAGGACAACAAAGAAATTAGTGAAATTCTAGAAGGCCAGTATGAGGCTATGTTTAACACCTAATAAACAACATGAAAGTTGAGGATCCAGACAGTTTCTTTATGAATGACATCCAAGCTCCAGATAATATAACCGATATTAACACAAACTCAGAAGACTTTGAAAAAGAAATTGACAACATGCCCATGCACTCAGCTCCTGGGCTCAACTCATGGAATTCAATATTCATTAATAAATGTAAAGTACCAGTAGCATGAGCACTCAGCATAATATGGAGAAAGAGCCTGGTTACTGGGTAGATACCAGCAGCACTTAAATAAGCAGATATATCTCCTCTGCCCAAGGGAGGTACTGTAGCAAAGCTTTGGCAAAAAAATTGTTGACCAGTTGCACTAACATCACACACTATAAGAGATTTGAAAAAGTGATTAGGAATCAAATTTTCAGTTTTATGGAAAATAATTAACTTAACAACCCAGGACACCATGGATTTAGAGCGGGAAGATCCCGTCTGTCACAGTCACTCAACCACTATGACAGAATCACAGAAGCCTTAGAGAAAAACCAAAATGCAGATACCAGTATTGTATACACAGATTCTGCATAGGTATTCAACAAATGTGACCATGGAGTGATAGCCCATAAAATGAGATCAATAGGAATAACGGGTAAAGTGGGGCATTTGATTTTCAACTTTGCAGAACAGAATGCAGAGTGTGACGTTCACATCCAAGGATCCCACAGCAATGATAACACTACTGTATTTAAATCACTGGTGCTGCCCAGTCTTGAGTATTGCTCGGTACTCACTTCTCCTTTCAGTGCAGGAGAGATTTCTGAATTAGAGGGAATACAGAGAACATATACGGCACACACAGAAATGATAAAGCATCTGAATTATTGGGACAGTCTCAAAGATCTCAAAATGGAGACGAGAAAGGTGGCAAATAATATATGTATGGAAGATATTGGAGGGCCAGGTCCTAAATTTGCACAGTAGAATAACATATTGGAGCAAAAGATACGGAAGGAAATGCAGAATAGAACCACTGAGGAGTAGAGGTGTCATAGGCACAATCAGAGAGCACTGTCTTAACATCAGGGGTCCATGGCTGTTCAACATTCTCACAGTGAGCATTAGAAATATTGCCGGAACAAAGGTAGATATATTAAAGAGGCATTTGGATAGGTTCTTGCAAGTGCCAGACCAACAAGACTGTAGTGGATATGTGGGCCGGCAAACCACTCCAAGCAACAGCCTGTTGGACCAAGTCATCACAAATCGAGCCTGGTCTCAGGCTGGGCTCGAAAGTAGAAAAACTCTCGAAACCCCTCTCCAGGTATGTGCAATTTGCCTTCCCACTACCACCACACAGTGAATGCCCTGCTGATCAGATTACATAAAGAGAGAGAGGTAGGGAGGGACATAAAACATACTACAATATATG